ACTCCCCCGCCTCCGCTGGCCTCCCAAAGTGCTGGGATTACAGGTGGGAGCCACTACCCCCGGCCTGTCCTACCTTCTTTAATCGTATGTGCTACACAACCATCTTCCATGAGATACACAGTTGAGAATTAAAGCTATATTCTAAGAAACTAGCCCCAGACTACCATATTTGTCTCCTAATGTCCTGCATTATGTATTTAGAAGTACTTGTCTTTGGGCGCGTGTGAATGGGCAAGAGATGTGGCAGAGGGAGTATTAAAGGAGGTCCCTGTAAGATACTGGGGAGAGCTATTGGGGAGGAAGATTTCGGAGCCTGGAAGAGACTTCCCAGGCCATTCTGCAGCTCAGGGCTGGTGTTCTCCGTTGTAGGTGTGATGGCTGTGAAGCAGTTCTGCTGGGCATCGAGCAGCAAGTTCTGAGAGCCAACCAGTACAAAGAGAACCATAACCGAACTCAGCAGCAGGTAGAAGCAGAGGTAAGGAAGGAAAGGAACGTTTGTTTCTCTCTCCAGGGCATACCTGTTTATTCCTTTGCAGTGTTTATGTTTTTGTTTTGCGAATCTTGGTGTAGATGAAACGAGCAGTCACCAACAAATGGGCCTGGGTTAGGTGCTGGGGTACAGGGATGAGTGTGACACGGCTCCTACTCTTGGTGTTCTCTGTTTTTTCCGATTCCTGGTCAGCATAGGGTGATCGATCAGGCTTTGAGAACAGAGAATGTTGTAGTTTCAGTACACATGTACTTTACAGCTGTAGAGCAAAAGAAAATGAGTTTGGGGATGGATCTTAAAAATGGATAGAAGGATGGTGATAAGTTACCAGGTAGAGTGGAGGGAGGGGTACAGCTGGGCAGGGGCATGTGGGGCTTCAAGGCCCTGGGAATGTTCTGCTTCTTAAGTTGCGTGGTGGGCACCTAGTTTCATTTTATTCTTTTTGTCTGAACTGTACATATATGTTATAAATGTGTAAAATGCGTGACATATTTCATATGGAAAGAAGAAAGGGATAAAATTTGGCAGATGAGCTGCAAGTGAAGTTAAAAGGATGTAAGCGTGGTTTTATGACACCTGGCTGTTGAGGAAACTTTTAGCTTCTTGGACAGATGTAGGCCCCAGCCTTTGTGTTATGGGCATTTGTGTACGTGTAACCTGACACATGAAGTGACCTCACTTCAGAATTTATTTGGAGCCCTGAAGATCAGAAGCACTGATTTTCCGTAGCATTGGAAGTTCTTTTCTAGGGTGGATGGGGTTTGAAGTATTAATCATGCTTAATGAATTTTGAAAATCAGGTGTCTAAGAGTATGGCAGAGTGGGACCCAGAATTGCAGCTAAGAAGCATAAGAGATGAGTAGATGTGCCTTTCAAAGGGGGATTTGTGAAATTTGGAGTGATTCCCTGTACTGTTATATGCACTTCTTGAAAATAAAACCTGTATCCTATTTGTAAGGCGAGCTTCTGGTCCCATGCCTAACCCATAGTAGGTACTCAGATGTTCAACTGACTATTTCTGGCACACCATGAAAGTGTGTCAGTGGACTGCTGCACTCTGCTTTTCATGAACTTGAGCTAATTTTTTTGAATACACACACACACCACCCTATATACGTATACTCTGTGGATGTTCAATTCATAGACCATGTTTAATCCTACTAGCCAAGGAAGTATGAGGCTGAGTATAGTAACTCACACCTGTAATCCCAACACTTTGAGAGACTGAGGAGGAAGGATTGCTTGAGTCCAGGAGTTCGAGACCAGCCTGGGCAAGGAAGTATGAACTACATTTAACAGCCCAAAGCAAAGACAATTAGGAAAATCAGCCTGCTGTTTTTCTAATAAGCTGTGCAACCACCCTCTTAATGATGGTGGCCTTTTCTCTTGGGATTGAGGTCTGAACAAAGTAGGAAGGGCTGACCACTCTCTCCTTTCTGTTTATTCTTCCCTATAAATCAAACTCTGTACAAAGTGAGGTTGGGAGGCTAACCACACTACCGAATCTTTGGTATCAAGGTCATTAACGAAGGTGAATGATACTAGTTTTAGAATGTGAACTGTTCACGTTTATTTTCATGATAAATAGCATCCAACAAAAGAAAGGTGGGTGTGCACAGAGCTATTGTAGACACTTGGCTAAAGTTTGAGACACTGACTAAAGTTTGAGGCACACCGTGTAGTTACACAACAGTGTAGACTCTTTAAATTTTGGTTATTTAAACACAGAGGATGGGTGTGTGCACTAGCAGAGCCTGGTGCTGCCAGCAGGTGGCGGTAAGGATTTAAGTTTGAGAAAAAGAAATCTGAGGAAAAGGCCAAGGCCACCTCCACCACCAATTAAAACAATCTGTTGACGTAATAATCTTTTAGAAAATCTGAACCAGACCAGTATGGTCTGTTCCCTGAGCATGGCCAAAGCTTAGGGCCTTGTCATTTTTCCCATTTAGCAAATGCATGATCTCGCTGCTAAGTGGTGGAGGCTACTTGCCACCTACTTGAGGCACACGGAAGGTACTCACCAAATAGCTACTGACTTGAAAGAAAAAGAAGTCTACGAAGCACCAGGGTGATTCTGTCGTATTCTGTTTGTATTTATGCTTCTGTTACCCTTGGCCTAACTTTTAAAAGCCGATTTTGTCAACTGATTGGTGATCCTTTATTTGTCCTTAAATTAGATTTATTTGTCCTTAAATTAGATTGCTTGTTTTCAGAGGGAAAAACGTGAAGTCCCCCTCCTGAATCTTATAACAACAGCTTTCTTCTGGTGAGTTGTAGCTTTAAGAGCCCTCCTTACTGAAGTCAGCCCTATCGCAGACTGTGGAAGAATATTCTTTCCGTTTAGGCTTTTGTGGAAACCCATGTTAGTTCTAGTTCCAGCATACCTGGGGGACCATTATGAGCTGTTTCATTATTTCTGAGAAAGCACTGTGGTGGGGAGGTAATACTTAGAACATTACAAAGCACTTCCACATTTAAATTTGATTTTGGAAAGTATTTTCTTTTTGAGAGACTGTCTCAGTCTATCACCCAGGCTGGAGTGCTTGGAGTGCAGTGGTGCACACACAGCTCGCCGCACCCTCAACCTCCTGGGCTCAAGCAGTCTTTCCACCTCAGCCTCCCAAGTTGCTAGGACTACAGGTGTATGCTACCACACCTGGCTGATATTTTTCTTTTCTTTTCTTTTCTTTTTTTAATGGAGAACTGGGTTTTGCTGTGTTGTTCAGGCTGGTCTTGAACGCCTCACCTCAGACTATCCTCCGACCTCTGGCTCCCTCTTTGTTGGGATTACAGGCGTGAGCCACCATGCCAAACCCACTTTTCTTTTTT